TTATTCCCACCTTACTTTAAAAAAAATTTTTTTAATGTTTATTTTGAGAGAGAGAGTAAGCATGAGCAGGGCAGGGGCAGAGAGAGAGAGGGCGGGTTCCAGGCTTTGAGCGTCAGCACAGAGCCCGACGTGGGGGGTGAACTCATGGACAGCGACATCATGACCTGAGCGTAAGTCGGACGCTTAACCGGCTGAGCCACCCAGGCGCCCCTCCCACCTTACTTTAAAAAAAAAAGCATCTGCTATTTATTGAGTGCTTCTTATGTGCCAGGCAATATGCTAAGCATTTTATATTAGTCACTCAATTAATTGGTATATTACTAATACCTATAGCAACACATTGCTAGTACATTATTATACATTACTAATAGATTATTGTTCTAACAGCCCTAGAAGGTATTCATTCATTTGTTCACCGCATATCCGTTGCCAGGCCTTACCCCAGGTGCTGGGGTTATAGCAGTGAACAAAATGAAGTCCCTGTTCTCGTGTAGCTTAGCTAATAGGGGAAGATAGACAATAAACACATAACCATACAAGCATATAGAATGCCAAATGGTAAAACGTGGAATGGAGAACAACAGAGCAGGTAAAGAGCATAGAGAACGTGAGGTAGGGAAGGTGTGGAAGGGAGGAGATACTGTTCTACGTACTGGCTCATTTTTTTTTATGGCTGATTCCAAGTGCCACCCTGGGTTGTACGACATTATGGTTAAAAGCCCTGTTTCTGGAATAACAGAGATCCAGATTTGACTCTGTGTTCTCCCAAAGACAAGTGATGTGACCCCAAACAAGTTATTCCTGAGCCTCAGTTTCCTTATCTGTAAAATGAGGATAATGTCACTTCGTAGGATTGGTGGGAGGATTAAATCAAATGAAATGAAATGATCTGCATAAAGCACCAAGCACAGTGTCCGGCACAAAACCAATGCTCTGAATTTTTGTCTTATTCATTGACCTACGTGGATAATGTCTCACAAACTCCCATGATAATGATGGCCACTATGGGAAAGAAGCCACGGGAAAACCAAACCCAAAACACCCTGGCTTGGTAATAGAGAATCCACCTGTGCTGGAGACAGAAAATTGGCCAGGTAACTTGTTAAACCCATACTGTTGCTTCCTTCTAGAAACGAAAATAGGAGGCCCTTGGGACACATATGGCAATAGCTTTAACTCTGGTTTTTTTTCTGCATGGAATTAATGTGACGGGGAAGACAAGCCCTGTCACCAGTCATGTGATGAAGAAGCAGGACCAGAAGGGGACCTAGGCTGTCCAGCAGGTTTAGGACTGGATGACACAGGTCTTCAACTCTGCACACAGGGTTGGGGGAGGTATGGAGCCGGCAACCCCTCGGGTAGGGTCTCTCGTACCTGGGCTCTAACCTTTGCCGTTTTGGGGGTTCCTGCTCCACGAGAGCGTCCTCAGCTGGCTAGAGCGGCCGTGCCGCGAGCGGGTGGGTTCTTAGGAATCAGGTGAGGTTTTCGAGGTCGGATGTTGGTCCATACAACCCTGCCCTGCTCATCTCCTTCCCTGCGCCAGAGAGGGCCCTGGGGGTGGGGGGGGGGCTGTAAGCCAAAGGAGCAGTAGCGGGATGTGAATCAGAGCCCCTTTTATCAGCCGCCACCGAGGTACTCAAACCCCGATGTGGGATTCTGGGAAGGGCCTGAGCTGGGGCGTCCGGGAAGTTGGACGCTTGAGGCCTAACCTGAGCCTGCTTTTCCCACCCAGTGACACCGGCTTATCGGGCCGGGCCTAGTCGGGAGGCAGAAACCATAGAGTGATCTGACGACAGAGGTGAATTTAAAGAACTGTCAATCGGGCATCGAGTTGTTCCTAGGTCACCGAAAGGTCCCTGAAGGAACCCTAAGGTATACAGAGGTAGCAATTACGGCAAAGTTACCATCTCTAGGGCTGAGAGAGAAAGGGAAAGGTTGGAATTCTTAAAATGTAGAAGCTTGGAGGAGGGTTCCCGCAGCATTGGAACTCAGACCTTGGAGAATGGGGGCTGCCCGGCTGGCGCTGGTGTGTCTGAGGGGCTGCTGGGAGGCTGGTTTTGCAAGTGCTGGCTAACTGCAGACTGGATCCAGCGCAGCTACCAGGAGAAACTGCTGGGGGGGGGGGTTGCAGAATGGGGGTGCAGGGTGGAGAGCCGTTGCTAGGTTCCACTAACACGAACGGGAAGCAGACGGGAAGGAGTGTGTTCCTGGTTCCCTCCTCCAGCCTCACTGTCGCCCCCCACTGCCCCTATTGGCAGAGCATCAGGCAGCGGACTAGAGGAGTGTGGGGTGACAGCTGACATGTGATAGCTTAGTAAGTGGCATTCATGCCCAGGTGTAGGGGCTCAGGTACCGGATGGTGCATTTTCCGGCCGGGAAGGGGGTGGGGAATGCTTTTGGAGCAGAAGAAGAAATGCAGGAGCCGGGGAACTGAGCATTGTTGTCTCCCTTCCACTCCTACTAGTAAAATATAGCCCGTGAAAGTACTGTGTGCCTTATCAAATAAAATGGCAGCTCCCGCCTTGGGGGGTGGGGTGGGATCCCAGCAAGGGATGGGGCAGAAGCAAGGCAGAGATAGGGCAGGGGGCTTGGATCACCTATTTCCCCTCGTGGAGGAGGAGTAGAGGTGGTAGTTAACGTACGTCTAGCTTAGTGGCAGGCACATAGTAGGCATTCAAGGAATGGTGGCAGTTCTTACTCAAACGAAGGAAAGGTGCAAATAGTTTAGGGAATGAAGTAACTGGCGATAGTGGAGAGAGCCCAGAGTTTGGACTCAGAAGAGCTGAGTCTGTACTAGATAAGTGACTTGAAACAAGATACTTGCCTCTCTGAACGCGAAGTTTCCTTATGTGTAACGTAGAGATGATACTTGTGGGGACCAAGTGTCTTACAGTCGACCCTTAACATGTGGTCGCTGCTTTGTTCCATTATTAATTATAGAAATGATAAGCATGGTTATTTATTATTGGTGGTGCAAATCCTAAGTAGAAGAGACTCTAGTGATCATTTATTCTACTACAGCACTGTGCAGATGAAGAAACTGAGGCACAGAAAAAGGTCAGTAGCTCTATGGAGGTTAAGAGCGTGGGCTACAGATCAGTGAGACCTGGGTTCAAGCCCTTGCTGTTCATTTCCACTTACTGGCTAGTCTCTCTCAGCTTCACAGTGCGGTGAGGATCACAGAAAAGAGTCCGTTGCCGGACCCTCAGTAAGTGCTCAGTAAATAGCCCTGGACAGTTCCACTGGGCTTGATGAACAGAGAGAGCCCCTGAGGTCAGGGTTGGTTGGTCATGACAGTGACTGTCCCATAGAACAGACCTTTCAGGTGAGCCTGGGCTCTCCATATGGTGAGAACACTCGAGATTTTCAGCCTCCCAATCATTTGCTTTATCATATTGAACGAGTCACTCTGTTTCGTCTCCCTGTGGTTTTTCCCTGTAAAGATCATGATACTTGACCTCATGTCTACTTCCTGGGGCCTTCTGGAAGCTGAAAAATGAAATGAGTGTCTCTGGAACCGGAGAGCCTTGGAGAAACTGATAAATAAATACGCTCAGATGACTAGTAATACCACAGCAGTATTGAGCCGGGGATCCTGGGACGGGAGGCTAGAATCCTGCTTTTAGAATTCAAATTGTTCTTGTTATAGTCAACTCTTAATTTTTATGTGCTAACTGGGAAAAATTATAACATGAATAAAAGAAGCCAGCTGGTGTTGATTGCTCTTCACTCTAAAATTTGAGGAAGGCATAAGAGACTATATTTTAAGTCTCATTATCTCTCACCTGATTGCCTTCTTCAAAGCTATGAAGCTACGGGATGGTTCCAAGGCTCAGAGCCCCAGAACGGAGTCAGTGTGCCTGAATAATCCACCAACAGGACCATGCTTATCCGTGCAGTAGCCGTTTGTTTAGCCATTTATTAACCAGGCGTGGGGCTAAACTCTTCACCTGTGGGATCTCCTTTCATGCTTATTCTAACTCTGGGAAGGAGGGAGGTGTGTTCATTTATCCATCTTTTATCAATTGAATCTCAGGTGCGGAGGCTGGAGCGAATTGTACTTTTCAGTTCATTGTACTTGGCCATCCCTGGTCTGTGCACGACCCTTTCTTATCTTAGTTAATTAATTTGCTTGCTCCTTTTTAACCCGTGTACCCCATACCCGTTCACCCCCCCTTCCCCGTAAATACCCGCTCTATTTGTTTAATGTCTTTTCCTTCGTATATATTCTTAGGACACGTATATTTTGGGTTTGTGTATACGTATTTTAAATTTGTGTAAAGTGATGTGTTCTATTTCATTGTCTTTAACTTGTCAACAACCGTTCTAACTGAAGCGCTGTGTTTTTAAGACCCAGCCACGTTGCTGTGGGCTTACTTAATGCATTGCTTCGAGCTGTGGCCTGATGGTCCATGGTGTGCACCTACCGGAGTGACACATTCTCCTTCCTAGCGGTGGACAGCCAGGCTGCATTGGTGGCAGACTCCCTAGTGTCACAAACAAAGAAACACCGCCGCCCCGTATGTCTCCCTCTTGGGCCGTGTGAGGATTGCTTGGGGGTACGTGGTGAAGAATGGAATTGCTACTTCATAGGGCATACGTAGACTTCATATGCCTAAGTAGTGCTGGAGGTAGGTGCCGTAATTTCCCCCAGTTTACAGATGGGGAAACGGAGGCTTTGAGAGTTTTAGTGACTTCTCAAAGTCACGCAGGCAGTAATTAGCAGAGCCGGGATTCAAATTCATGCCTTCTTGCCGCCCAAACTCTACTGACAGTGGCTAGGCCATCAGTGTTCTCTGAGTCTTTGAGACTTGAGGACATTTTACAAGAATCTAAAGGTCAATTTCACTGTAGTTGTTATGTTCTTAGAACCTGGAAATCCAGGCAGACTGGGTTTTTTTTTTGTTTTTTGTTTTTTTTTTCCGGAACACCTACTTCCCCAATCCCACAGCTGCATGGTAACTGGTTTTCTCTAATTTGCATATCCTGTGGGGCTGCAGTGCTCAAAGCTGCAGTGGTCATCCAGAACTGGTACCGGGGCTACAGCACTCGACTGAAGGCCAGACAGCGCTATGCCCTCACCATCTTCCAGTCCATCGAATACGCCGATGAACAAGGCCAATTGCAGGTCTGTTTTGCAAGCTCGTCTCTTCTTTGGGCAAAGTGCTTCTCTTTACCCCTTGTAATTGAAAACACAAAGAAAGTTGGGGTCCGTTTTAAGCTGAGGAACCTTGGCGAAAACTGTAACGGAGGATGTAGTGACACTGCCTTGGAACTAGCCGTTCGGAGAGGGTGTGATTTGGGAGGAAGATGGTGTTTTTCAGTTCTGAAGTCCACATTTTGAAGAGGGCTGCCAGATGTCTAGTCAGCTAATGAAAAATGGCCTTATTCTGTTCTTGGGTACGTGCCCCAATAGTAAAGTTGTCACTTTATGAAGGAAAAAATACTTTAAGGAGTTAAAAAAGGGAAACATTTCCCAAGAACAAACCTGTGAGAGTTCTAGAAGAAAATATAGATGAGTGAGGAAGGCCTTTTTCAAGCTTGCAAAAGTGATGTATAAATCCAGCGTTAATGCTTATTAGCAGAAAAAAAAGTACATTTTTAACAATAAAAAGGAGGGAGGTATCTGTGCCAACCTGTGTGTCTCTGGGGGAGGTGCGGCTCACCAGCGAAAGGCCAGGAGGGAGGTGGGAGGCAGGTGGAGGTGGGACCTGTTAGCACCTAAGGCAGCTGGGAGATGACTGTTCCAGAAGAGTGAAGAGCACTTGCTTGGAACACCAACAGCATTTGCCACAGTAGCTGTTTGGGGGTCATCAATTGACTAATGTATTTTTTTTTTTTTGTCCAGCTATCCAACTTCTTTTCCTTCATGTTGGAAAACTACGCACATATACATGAGAAAGATCCAGGTAAGTACGATGTTTAGTCTTTTGAAAAGCAGTCATTACATATCGAATTGCCCTCTTCAAGGGATGTAAACTCCGAAGATGGGAGAACGCTAAGAAATTAAAACGATGCTCACCTGTCTTACCTTTGCGACCCCTCCCCTCCAAACAACTGGTGAAATCAGGTCAAGTGGCTTTTTTCGCTGATTGTTGTTGACTTGACTAAATTGGTCATTTACTTTTTTTCACTTTGAAAAAGCTGAATTCGATTTCACTCAATGTTAATTTGCTGAACACCTTCTCTGAACCACAATCTCTTGATATACAGAAAGTAGCTTAGTAAAGAGGATCTTATTTTTTATCCACAAAAACTTTTGTGCCGAGAGATCAAACTGTCTTGAGGATCTCGTGAAACGAATCTGGGGGGAAATGGTGGCTTGGACACGGTTGTCTGTTTTGCCGCATAGCCAGCTGTCTGTCTCTCTGTCTCTTTATCATTTATTTAGTCCTTCTGAAATGACTAAGGAAATCATTTCAGGGACAGACAATGTAGAGATGGTTCAAAATGGTTTCAAAATGATGGTTATTCCCGGGGCATGCATTTGTTCTGCAAATCAAGATGTCTGTTGTTCTCTTCAAGGTAGATGCTAGGCTCACAGACTCACTTTTCTTTAATTTGGGTCATTTTTTGGTTCTAATTAAAAGTATATGTCATCTAAGAGCTTCTTTTAAATCATCTAGCGAGCACCCTTCAAAGTGGCAAAAGAATAGTGTTTTAATGGCATGCCTTGAGCTGAGCGCATATGTATGAAACTAATTAAAGCATTTAATGATCCGTAGGAGCTTTCTAAATGGTAGAATAGCCAAACCTGAGGAGTGGGGAGTGGGCGGAAGTGGGTATTTTGCCATTTTCTTTCTTTCAGATAATTGCAATTTGGAGACAGTTGTTTGTGCTTCATGTTCTTTGGCAAAATATTTCTGAGGGGAAATATAATGATGGTGAAATGAAACAGCACTCTTTTTGCTAATGACCTACTCTTTGGATCTGGTCTGTGTACTGGAATCACTTATCGAGATTCACAGACACAGATGGCTGGGTTCCAGCCCGGAGATACTTACTCAGGCTCTGTATTTTTAAAAAATCTGCATGTAAAAAAGAAAAAAATCTGCAGGTGATTCAAAAATATTTAAAAATTTTTATCAAAGAAGGGGACAGTGTTTTAATCTTCTGATGTAGACTTTTCTTGAAGTCTAACCTATGACTCAGTACATTTTTTCAAAGTAAACAGGCCCTTGTAACCTGCGCCCAGAAGAAAGAAAACATTTTCAGAGCCACAGAAGCCTCTCTCCTGTCCAGTCACTTCCCAATTCCTCCATCATGACTTTCCTGTCTCCTGTATCCTAGATTGGTTTGGCTGGTTTTGAACTTCACTCCATAAATGGAAGCATACAGTGTTGAGTCTGTCTTGCACTCACCATTGTATTTGCGAGTGTCATCCACGCTGTTGCAATTTGGTCATTCTCATTGCTGAATAATACTTCACTTTATGAATATGCCAACACTGATCCGTTCTGTTGTTTATGGACATTTGGGTTGTTTGCAGTTTGGGTAATTTAAATGGTACTGCTATGCACATTCTTGGGCATGTCCTTTTCGGTGAACATACAGACCATTTTTTTCAGTTATCTATTGCTGCATAACAAAGCACCCCCAAATTTAGTGGCTTAAAAACAGCAACCATTTAACTCCTTGTGATTCTGTGGATCACGCAGTTGAACAGGGCTCAGTGGGGATGGCATGTCTTTGTTCCATGTGGTGTCACTCAGCCTCACTCAACCTAGCTGGGCTGTGTAGGGAGGTCTAGGTGGGCCTACTCGCATGGCCGGGACTTTGGTGTTGGCTCTGAACTTAGGTACCTCAATTCTTTCTGTCTAGCGGGATATCCCGGAATTCTTTACCCAGTAGCTGGATCCCAAGAGGACAAAGGCAGAAGCTACGACGCCTTTAAGGCCTATTCTTTGGAACTCACACAAAGTCAGTTCTGCCGTATTCTGTCGGTCACAGCAGGTCACAAGGGCAGCCACAGATTCACAGGGTTAGGAGAGCTTCGGCTCTTGCCAGGGGAAGCAGTGGCATTCTACAGTAAAGGGATGCACACACAAAGGGGGGTGATGCACTGGGGGCCAGGATAAAGGTGGACCGCCACCCAGGAGTGGAAGTTTTGGGTTACAGGGCATGCGTATGTCCAGCTTTATTAGATACTGACAAACCGTCTTATACAATTATTGTACCAAGTTATATTGCCACCAGTGGATGAGAGTTCCAGTTGCTCTCCGTTCTCTTCAACACTTGGAGTTGTCTGTCCTTTTCATTTTGGCCATTCTGCCAGGTATGTAGTAGTATCACATTTCTGCTTTAATTTGTGTTTCCTTGGTGAGCGTCGAAATTGTGTGCCTTTTTGTGTATTTATTGGCCATATGAACATCCTGTTTGGTGAAGTGCCTGTTCAGGTCTCCTTCCATCTTTCTATTGGGTTAGCCACTTTTTTTCTTACCAGTTTTGAAGAGTATCCAAGTATTCTAAATACGAGAATATGAACCTTTGTTAGAGAAACGTATTGCAAATATCTTCTCCTAGTCTTTGCCTTTTGTCTCCCCAATCTTTAAATGCTATCTTTCGATGATAACAGACATTCTTGATTTTAACGTAGTACAATTTTTTTTTCTCTTTATGGTTAGTGCTCTCTACATCGTAATTGAGAAGTCTTCGCCTGGTATCAATGTGTGTGTGTGTATTTGTGCAAAAATAAATACAGGAGAAACCTATAGGATGAATCAGAAACTAATGACATTGTTTACCTACAGGGGATGAGTGGATGGGTGGGAATAGGGGAAAAGGAATGGGAGAGTTGGGTAGAGGACTGAGGGAGGAGTAACATTCCTCTGAACGTACCAAAATAGAACACACACAGTGACAAATGAAGTTCACCGTATTACAAACGAGTAACAAAATCACCTCATGGAGGTGGTGAAGAAACAAACTAATCTAAGTAACATTGGAGAATAGGGCTTTAAGTACAATGTGTCTTGATGAGGGTTCATTTATATTTTCGCTATGTGGGGTTTGCCGAGCTTCTGTGATATCTAGCTTGGTATTTTCCATCAGGTTTAGGAAATTTTTACCCATTAATTATTTAAAATACCTTTCAAGTCTAAATATCTTTTTCTTTGTGCATCCCTACTTTTAAACTTAGAAGGCCTTGAAATATTTAAAATGTGGATCGCTATGCCTGTATTTCTAGATTTTTTTATGGTTTGGCTTTTAAAAATTTTAGCACTTCATACATTTTGGATTTTTTATATTAAACTAAAAAAGGAAATTTGGATGCCTCATGGTTGAAAACAATTTAAAACCACAGCTAAAAAGACAATGTCCAAGCATTTAACCAATTTTTCCCACAATATTTCTGGTAATGTACCTTTTCACCATGGTTTATAGTACCTCCTTCATCGTGTATTCATTAAAAAATGTGTAATAGGGCATATTTCTAGGCTGTCGTTTCTCTTATACATCTCTCTATTATAGAGTCCTTGAATCTTACTGATCTGATTATTGACATAACAGAAAAATTGATGTACAGATTAGTTCTGTAGGTTATTTCCTTTAAAAAGTGTTCCAGCTTTATTGAAATATAATTGGCACATAACAATGTATAAATTTAAGGTATACAATGTGGTGATTTCACATACGTGTATATTATGAAATGATTACCACAATAAGGTTAGTTAACACTCCCCTCATCTCACAGTTACAATTCTTTTGTGTATGGCAAGAACTTTAAAAATGTACTCCTAGCAACTTTCAAGCACCCAAAAGAGGATTGTTGACTAGGGTCACTGTGCTGTGCATTACTGTAGGTTGCTTTCTGATGGCCCTCTTTGGTGGGATGGCTCCACACGACGTCCCCCAAGGCCTGTTTGGCAGAAGGGCTGTGACCCTAAGTGGGGTATATTTAGGGACCAGAAGATCACTTCACATTTCCGGAATAATGGTTTGAACTCTGAGGCACAGGGTTGGCGGAGACATTCTGGGTGTTCCGCGGGTGGGAGGTGACCTGGAAGCAATTCATTCCTGCGTCCTACTACTTAGTTGCTCAAACCAGTTCCTAGGACTTGATGGGGAGACTTCACACATCCACCGCACAGGTAGAGAGCGGCAGCCACTGTACGTAACAGGTTTAAACTAGAGCTTGATGGAAGTGGGGAGTGTGATGGAGTGTGCGCAAGTGTTGTTTTGACTATTCTTTCTGCTTCCCTGCTTGGCCAAAACGTCCTATCAGACCCAGCTATTTTATACTTTTTGTTGTTATGGTCAATAGGTTATTTTCCCCATTCTGTCTCCCCGGTGATTCTTGGTAGTCTTTAACAAGCCTTTGATTCATACCTGTTTGTATTGTGCTCCTGTCAAATAACAATGTTAATGAAATTATTATTGCTGGCATTTGTTAAATGTTTGCCGTGTGCCATGTCTTTTAAGTGCTTTAAATATTTCATTTAGTCTGCATGACAAACCACTGAGACTGCTAGTGTTATCATTCCCTTTTGTCAGATGGGAATGTTGAGGCTTAGGAAGTAACCTCCCGAGGTTATGCGTCTCAGCAGTGGTAAAGCTGTGGTTCAGACCACTGTGCTTAAACCTCTGTAGTATCGATCCTGTCAGTTCTGGGAGTTTCTCAATTGATTTTCGTGAGTATGGATATTTAATCACACTGGTCACAAGTAATGTTATTTTTGCATCTTTCTATCCGGTAGTCACTGCTCTTAATCCGGATTCATATTTGAGGAATGAAATAACTATAAATGCAGTTCCATTGGTGCTTTTCCCCCCCTAGCCATATTTGGAGCTTGTTTTCAAAGTGACACGTGGGTGGCAGAGGCAGAAATTGTGTGTGTGTGTGTGTGTGTGTGTGTGTGTGTGTGTGTTTAATTGTGGGCTTTAAAATTTTCCCTGTCCAGATTTTGAGTTTTACTGGGAAAAAGAAACAATTATACGTGGTGGGGTATTTTTGAGGCATTTTCTTTAGAACAACTTGTAAAGGTATCATTTGGTTATAATTCGAGATTTCATTATATTTAATTAGTTTAGATTCATGTTGACAGAATTGTGAATCAAATAGGTAAGGATTCATTCAAATTACATGTTGCACAAATCTTCATGTATTGTTGGCATTCATTAAATTACTCTTATTAGTTATAATAGTTACAGCCCACAGTACTTGCCTTTGAACTGTTGAAGCTTTTGATTGTGTTCGTATTATGATCCTCCTTAGCTACCATATTAGGAAGAGAATCTATGTTATTTTTTTTAATGTGGCTAAAAATCAGCAAAAGGATTATGATTTTTAAAAAAAGGGCCACGATTTGATGTTTACTGATATTTCATTTTGGGTAGCTTTTTCTAAGAATTGGCATAGGGAGATGGAACTTGTAAGGACTGGAGGTCAACGAATGTATGGAAAGAAGGGCCAGACCAAGCTTTTTTTGTGCATTTTAAAGAAGAAAAGCAAGATTTTAATTTTGTTCCTAAAAAACAAGACTGCATTTTAATGACTGGAACTGATGCAATTGGCTTGATGTGCCAGCTGATGAGAAAGGGGGAGTGGACAGAGCATAGGTGAAGGCAGTGATTGGGAAAAGAAAATCATTTCATGCTTGTACTTCACACAGTTGGGTTTACTCAATAAGTCAGTTATAAGATAATCTAGTGAGGCTGGTGGGGCTCTTTTTATTTTTCCTTGTTGTTGTTGTTTGCCCAAGAGGAGCCCGATATTTTCATGTATAGAGTTAGGAAGATTTCTCTCTAAGAATGGAGCGGTATGATCGTTAAGACGGTTAACTGGAGTATTTAGGCTTTACTGCTTGCAGAGTGGAATCTGAGATAAAATTTACCAAGCTCCTCTGCGTTTCTAATTTTCAAACATAAAATGGAATAATTAAGTTATTCTCAAATCTCAAATCAAATCCAAATGAGAAAAATACCCTGTGCTGGGCCACACTGAAGACAGACATTATTATTCCTAAATTTAACTTCTTATAAAACATCGTCAACCACCACCAAAGAAGTATTGGAGTATACAATAACTTAGTAAGCGTGTTTAAGTTACCAAATATGACTTATTTTAGAAAAAAGTTTTCAACTTTAGTTCTTAACTGTAATCTCTCAGCACAAATGGATCGTGGAAAAAAACAAAAAACGTATTCTATTTACATCAGCTAACGTCACACCTTCCAAACATGTCCACTCTAAATATTCAAAAATATAGAAACTTCTTGCACAGAACTTCTGATTGATGGGCTTGGTAGCAATTCAATGCTCATGAGTTGAAGTGTACATTGTCATCTTCTATAGCGGTTATCTATTAAGGAAATAATACTGTGTGTTAAACAACCACAATAGCTCGGTGGCAGGTTAAGAGACATTTCTTTTTGCCCACAAATCTACAGGTTATCTGAGTGCTTCTCCTGATCTTGGCAGGCTTGATTTGGTGGTTTTTCTCAGGTCTTGGCTAGAATTCACTCATGTATTCGGAGATCAGCTGGCTAATGACTGATCTAGGATGGCCTTGACTGGGGTGACTCCGTTTTGCTCCCCATAGTCTTGGAGCTTTCATTAGACTAGCTTGGGCTTTTTGGTAGTCGCATGGGTTCAAAAGAGAGAACATGGAAGCACGCAAGGCTTGTAGACTTTGGTGAGAGTAGCTGCAAATCACGTGCAAAAGAGCAAGTCTAGGAGTTGGATGAACAATTGGAGTCACTTTTGCAATCAGTCCATACCGTATCCCCTTTCATCTTTCTCCACCTGAATTGGCCAGATTTCTGTACTTGGGCTGGCTATTTCATAGGCAGTCTAGCAAGAAAGGGACTCTGAGTCTCAGCCCCTACTGATAGGGGTAGTGCAAACAATCTGTTAACATAGAAATGTGTCTCTGAATGAGAGGCCCTTTGGGTATTTCTGCCTGTGGTTCGTCATCTAACTCTATTTGCTTTGTTAACAAGAAGAAAAAAAATCACACCAAAAAAATCTGTCTCTATCTGAAGAGAGAAACAAATCCATTACAGCCAGGTAAAGTTTGAAGTGTTTCACGGGAAAAACTGAATATTGCAGTTTAATTTTCTGTAGATCATGAATAGCACACATGTTTGAATCAAATACAACGCACTGTTATGTTTTCAGCCCTATTTGTAAAAATCCAAGATGTAAGAGTGGGCAAAAAAGGTAGAGGTAGTTTCAGAGCATCAGAGTACCTCGGCTGACCAGTTTTCCCTGTGTTTCTCCTTTTCCTCTCCACCAATCAACTCACTGCTTTGATACAGTATCCACTCAGGAAGGGAGAAGGGTGATTCATGTGAATATACCTAATGATCTGAGAACAGATCCTTCCTCATGGTTATATGTGAGATATCTTGGTATTCATAACATGTAGCACAGTGCCTTACACAGGCTCGATATTCAACAAGGTATCGATTGAATTTAAGTATGGTGATGTCTTTCCTTTTCCAGAAATAGTTGCTCGACTTTTCGGTAGCACCCTCCAGGACTACAAGGATAGACAGGACTATGTCGCATTTGTAGACGTCCCAAACTCCTATAACGGTCCTCGACTGCAGTTTCCTCTCACCTTTACTGATATTGACTTACTTGTTGACGCCTTCAAGCAACAACAGGCAAGTGGAAGCAGATACCGCCCTGATTCTTGTACATAACATGTGCTCAGTGACCATCCGTTGAATGAACGGATGAAAATACTGCAGCAGAAATGCGTTCTCTTGGGGAAAAGCTTCATACTGAGAGTTATCCTCTGCTTTGCTTCACCTATTAAACCGAAGTCTCCTGGGATGTACAGAAATCTCCTATCTATAGGCTCACTGCATTCCCTTTTTTTCTTTTTCTGAGCTATAATTCATATGTCATAAAATGCATCATTTTAAGGTGAGTGGTTTAAGGGTGAGGGGATGGGCAAAATGGGCGAAAGGGACTGGGAGATCCAGGCTTTCAGTTATGGAGTAAGTCGTGAGGATAAAAGCTACAGCCTAGGGAATATAGTCAATGGTGTTGTAATGGTGTTGTATGGTGACAGATGGTAACTACACTTGGGAGCACAGGGTAACGTGTAGACTTGTCGAATCACTGTCCTACACCTCAAACTAATGTAACATTGTGTGTCAACAATTCTTCAATTAAAAATAAAGTGTACAATTCAGAGATTGTTAGTATATTCACAAAACTGCACAGCCCTCACCAATATCTGATTCCAGAACATTTTTGTCACCTCACAAAGAAATGCCATACCCATTCCCATTCCCTTCTCCTTCACCCCTGGCAATCGCTAGTTTCTGTCTCTGGGGATTTGTCTCTCTCGGACATTTCATACAAATGGAATTGCGTAATATGTAGCCGCTTGGGTCTGGCTTTTTCACTTAGCGTGTTTTTTTTTTTTTTTAATTTTTTTTTTCAACGTTTTATTTA